GAGAGGGTTGCTGGTATTGAGAATTGCTTTTTGGAAAGTGAGCTATTTCTGAGGATGAATCAGAGTTAGCCAAAGAAAGAGATGAAAAAAAGAAAAAGAAAAAAGAGGTGGGGGAAAAAAGAGAGTCTAGGCAGAAGATTCTGGATATTGAAGGTATATGAGGAGATGAAAGAGCAAGACACTTTGATGAACTACAAGCACTTCATTTGTTGGGAAAGTGGTTAGAAAAGAGGCATGAAAGACTAGAGAAGTAGGTGGGCCTATATCATTAAGACCCCTATAATTCATGTTAAAAGGTTTGGACTTTATCCTGAAGCCATTGGAGGGATTCAATTAAGAGGCAGTTGCAATAATCCAGATGAGAAACGCTTAAGGTCTGACGGAAAGCCAGGGGGTCGGGGAAGAGAATATGAACAATTGGATGGGCTGCATAAGAGAAAAGGCAGAATCAAGGATGAAACCCAGGTTCCGACTTGGAAAGCAGGGTGAATGCTGCTGTCTATTCACTAAGTCAGAGAGAACAGAGGAGGAGCAGTAGAGATAGAAGATAGTTGAAGTTTTGGAGATGGAGGGACTCCAAGAGCGATGTTCAGTGGTGAATAGCAGGCGTACAAGTCTTATGCTGAGGTGAGATGTGTGAACTGGGAGGCTGGAAATACATATTTAAACATCATCGGCATAATGGTAATGGAAGCCTTAAGGATGGTTGACACCACTCAAGGAGTATGTGCATAGAGAAGAGCCCTGGAATACCACAGTTTAAGTTTTGAGGGGAAAGAACTGCAGTTTACAAAGGGGACTGAGAAGAAAATCAGAAGAACATTATGAAATAAGTCAAAGAGAGTTACAAGTTAATCTTGGAGGGATTGGCATTTGTTTAAGAAGGGAGGACTTTTCTGGAAAAAGGAATGGCATGTGTAAAGCTGGAGAGGCAAGAGAAGTCATATTTAGAGAATTCTATGTATTTCTATTTTGTACTATTCCCTCCCTCATACACCTTTCAGTCCACCCTTCATTCCGGACTGGACTGTTTACTTGGATCCAAATTCAAGTTGCCTCTGAGCTCCTTGACTTTGTTCACACTGTTCTCTCCATCTAGAAAGCCCACCTCCCCCTTCATCAAATGTACAAGTTCTCCTCATCCCTTGTGGCCCAGCACAAATACCAAGACCTCCATGATTTTCCGTGGTTACCTTCTTCTTTCTCCACTTGGGAGTAATTCCCCTCTTTGGAATTCTCATAGCATTGTATCTGTATCTCTCTTATGGCATTTTAATGAAGCTTCATAGTTACTCAAGCAAACATCCTTGGGACCGAGAACTACCTTTGTGTTAGGACCCATCAGGTATAATCCCCAGCACCCAACATGGAACCTGCCCTTAGAAGGCCTTTGATTAATGCAGGGCTTTCTCAGAGTGTGGCCTCAGGACCAGCAACATAAGCATTTCTGGGAACTTGTAAGAAATCTAAATTCTCCAGCCTCACCCCAGACCTATTGATTCAGAAACTCTGGAGGAAGGGCCAGCGATCTGTAGTTTAACACACCTTCAGATGATGCTTAATACAGCTAATGATTGAGAACCACTGGGTTAGCTGAAGGTCTCCTTTTTTTTTCTGGAATAGAAATTTGCAACTACAGTTACATTATGAGCACTTCTCTTGATTCTATCTGAGAACATAGCTTGAAACTCAAATCTCAGTTGATTATTTGAAAACTTCTTATTTTTATGTCCTTCTGTTTCTTAACACATCATCCATATAAGAAATCTTGTATCAGCAAAAGAAATTTGAGCAACAGAGAAATGGTATCATTGTGCCTTAGGGGATTCTGGTGTCCCTGGCTTTAGTAGTATCCAGGAATTAAGCTTCAAATGACCAAGATTTGAACTGGCTGATGGCCAAATTGCATATTCTCCTTTTCTTTCACTTTCTACTCTGCTTTCTCCCCTCCCTTTCCCTTTCTCCACTTTTCATTTTCACATCTAAAACTGTCCTTGGTTACAGCTGTCTCAGAACATGCGCTTTGGGGAAAAGATGCTATAAAAGTCTCAAACATTCACAATAAAAATCGAAGGTTTCCCAGCAAGGTCAGGTGAATTAGCCCAGAAAGCTGAGAACGAGTGGGGGAAACATTCCATTTTGTTCATAGTCTTTTGGCAACCCGTAACTTCAGAGACAGGATTTCAATCAATGTGGAAAGACATCTTTCCTTGGAGTTGAATTCACTCCAAACCATTCCAGGCGTACTTACTGCTGGTGAATTTCAGCATTTACTGCTGGTGTCAGCTTCCTATGGTGTAGAAAGCTGCTCTGAATTTCTGCCAAGAATTTTTGGGCTTTTGTGTCACCTCAACCCTAGGTGATGATCAGATAAGCTAGGCAAATGTGTCACAAATGCTCAACAGAGATGCCCCAAACCAGCAGTCATCCTTAATAGGCAGCCCATCCTTTGCTTAACATCTGAGCACCTTCTCATCAATTCTAACACTTCCTATTCATGTGAATGCTGTATGTGTGTGTGTGTGTGTGTGTAGCACTCACAAGTGAATGTATATGTGTATATCTATCTAGCTATATAGGGATAGGTAGAGATATGAAAAGAAGGCTGAGTGAGAATTTCAATAGCACAAAAGGTTTTTTGATTCACAGTAATGAATACACAGATACAAAGGTCAGTCGATATGAATCCCATAATACCTGTGTGCTCTTCATACATAAAAAAGAGAACATGGGAGCAAACATCCCATCACAGCATACGCATATACAGCTTCTTTGTAAATACAACATGTAATAGACATTTCCTCATGTAGTGGGAACAATACACATCAGCATTGCATTTTACAAGATATAAATACCCATTCGGTCACTCCCCAAATCTCTTAAATGTTTGGAGAAAGGGAAGGATATATGGGCATTCAGGAAATAGATCTTCCAAGTCTTAAATGGAAACAAGGAGATTTTTCTTCCCTATAAATATCTTCATAGTTTTGGTGATTCTCTTCAAGGAACCATTGAATTCCTGGGGAACTTGTGTTTCAGGAAGTATAGTCAGCATCCAAAGAGATACCAAAAGCTGAAATTCTTTACTCTTCAGGGTCTGCTGTACCTTTGCCATCTCCAGTTAGGTTAAGTTTGTTGGTCACTTGGTGATTAAAAAAGTAAGGGTCCTAAAACTGAGGAGACAGTGAGTTATCATTTCTTTCCGTTCTAAATAGACCATGATTCATCTCTGAGAGATTCTCCTGAGAAATGAGGCTAACAGATAGTGTTTGACACTGCTTTCCAAGTCTTAACTATTTGGGGCAGGTTTAAGTATAAAAGAGAGATGTCCTATTTTTAGTCTCAGAATGTTGACATCCAGAGTATAGTGAAATGCTTTTCATCACAGAAAGGACAAAGAGCATCCTGTTTTTCTCCACATTTGTGGAATATGAATCTTAAGAGAGAATATTAATCTGTGGAGACCGGGAGAGTGCCCTGTGTTTGATTAATTTGATGTGCTCAGCTGGGGCACCTGCTTTCTTCCCTGACTCTGACTTGCTACTCTGATTCTATCTAAATGTATAGCAATGGGGACCATTCCAAGCAACACTGTCCACTTGGTGAGGGAGGCTAATTTACAAGTTAAGTATGACACATGGCAGCCTTTGGGGAAGGGGAGGAAAAGCCCAGACCACTCAGAGGACACAGTTGATGTAAGAGGACTGGGAAGCCAGAACTTGTTTTTGTTCTTGAGAGTTTACTGAGTGTCCAGACTCAGTAATCAAGAAAACCCACCCCCATCTACAAACGAGTTTTCTTGAAGTGGGGCACATCTTTCACTTTATCCAGCCCTTCACCCAATTCCTGATTCTGGGCTCTTTCCCAAGGTCCCGTATCCTCCAGGTTAGGATGGGGAAAGGAGGGAGCCCCTTAGCTCTGCTCTGGGCTGGCAAAAGCTTAGATGCATAACAGTTACCAGAGCCAACCAACCATTTTGTGGCGCCTCGCTCCATTCTGATCATATCCAAGTGTTGCCCTCACTGGCAATTTCCAGGGCATGTCCTTGTGGTCCCTCTCCAGCCTCTAGGACCAGACTGCCAGTTCTGCTGCAACAGGCTATTTCTACCCAACCTCTCTTTTGGGCTGCACTATTTCTTTAAAACCCAGCTCCCTAAACTGAATTTGGCTTACTGGTTTATTTCTTCCTCTCCTTGTCATCGTGCTAAAAATTTCAACTCAAAACTTATAAATTCAACAGCTGGAAATCTTCTCAGAATGCCCTGTGTACAGAAATCTGTAGAAATTGGTAGGCAAAGACTCAACAAGGAGTAGTTGAGAAACTTCTTCCCGTGGCATAAAGTAGGTGAGTGGAAGCAAGACAAGAGTCCTCTGTAAAGGAAAATAGTTAATAATAGCTATATTTACTGAGTGCTTCCTCTGTGCTAGGCACGTAGGATACCAGCCAAGCTTCATGTTTTTCATAGATTATTTCATATAATCTTCATCTAAGGTAAGTATTATTAACCCTGTTTTACAGACGGGAAAACAAGCTTAGCAAGCTTCCAGTTATATTTTCAAAGTCACAGAGCTAGGAAACAGCAGAGGTCGGTTTAGAAAAGAGGCCAACCTTACTCCAAAGCAGGGGCTCTTTCTAAAAAGCTACCCTTCCCCCAACTGAAAGAGCGCCTCCAAGCAGCTTACATTTAATTCTAAGCCGTGGTTCTCAACTGCAGGCTACGTGCCCTTCCCCCCAACAAAAAAAAAGAACATTTTGTCACTATCTGGGGACATTTTTGGTTGTCACAACTGGTAGAGCACTGTAGGACCAGGGATGCTGCTCAATATGCTACAGTGCTCAGGACAGCCCCAACAGCAAAGAATTATCTGGTCCGAAATGGCCAGTAGTGCTGAAGTCAAGAAACCTTGATTCAAAAGATGGTGGATTTTTAAAGCCAACTCATAAAACCCAGGTTATTTTGTCTGTAATTCATTCATATGTACATTCTGTCCCATCACAGATGACAGCAGCCTTCTAAATCTAACTCCCTACCCCTTGGTTAGAAGACGGAAGAGAAGGTTCTTTGGGCTGTGTTGTCTGGTCTCAAGCTAGGCAACTCCTCCTGGAAACCCACCATTGAGAAGACCTGAAAATATCACAGAACCTGAGGACCTCCAGACAGCTGAACTACAATTATTGGTTTTTGACTATGTTTTCTATGCTTCCTTATTACTTTTATTCGCCTCCCCCTACCCTTTTAAATGATTTTACATTTGAAAGCAGCTGCCATCAAGGGGAAAAAAAAAAAAAAAGATTCACAAAGCAGGCTGTTTTTAAAAGGATTTTTAAAGCTGACATTGTGCATGTCTGCTCCAAACCATACCATGACAGATGCAAGAATTATGGTTTTTAAATTATTTAAAAGTTTTTTTAAATGTATTATACAGAGAAAAATTATTTCATGTATAATAGTGTATCTTTAGCTCTTGCTGATCTCATGTGAACAATTTATCATATATAAGAGTCTTTAAACATAGAAATCTATCTAAAACTGCAAAACTGTGTTCAAAACTCCAATCTATCAATATTATTAGAAATAATATTATAATCAAACATATACCACCTCACCTATTGCTTTGTCTGCACTCATTTACATTTAGTCTTCCATTCTGTCAGAATCCAAGAGCTTCTACATAAAGATATCTTAATTTATAATGCAACAAAAACCATATATGAAACGTATTTAAATTTTGTAAATACACAATAATCCTAATACCTTCGTACAATGCATATGGGCAACTAATTGCCTTTTGATCCAATGGTGTCTTTTTCAGCTTCTTGGAGAATGAAGTAATCCAGTTAGAAAATGGTGTAGTAACATATACAATTACCCTCAAATGTAAAATTGAATATTATCATATTTTGTTCTAATTGAAATCTGAAGCATGATGTCTGCGCATCAGCATAGTGTTAAATCTTATAGGGCATGCTGGAATTAGCTCAGATCGTAAAAATATTTAACATTTTATGTTAATAAAATCTTTTTAGTTAAGCTAAGCTTGTCTCATTTTAGATGACTATGCAGATAAGACTTTTCCAATGTGTACTTGGTGTCTTGTCTTACGCTTAGAATCTTGAAAGCAGGACACATTAAGCAATACTATATTTTAGAAAGGAGGAAGCCACAAGCTTTGTTTTTCTGCTCACAGCTCTGTTATGAACTTCCTCACTAAACTTGTAACATGGTACAAATTTTGTTGTATTTTACCCTGTTCTTCCTCGGCCCATTACCCAAACAGAATTTCCCATGGGTTGAGAGATCAGGCCTTTGGACTTCCTTTCTTGCTTTCCAAAATCTGAGGAATCCTCAAGTCAGACAAGAGGCACCAGTGTCTAGTCCAATAAAAGGATGAGCTAGATGCCAAACAGTGGTTTAGCCAAGATGCATCTTTAATCCCAACCCTATACTTTCTCAGTACCTATGTGCATAGGCATTTATATGTCCAATATTTTGACCCAACAACTAAATATATTAAAGCTGTTAGCTTTAGTGAAGATGAAGATAGGTTATATGAACTACTGGAATAATTCTTGTATTAGATTGACCTATATGAGATTGCTGGTATATGATGGTTTTGACCTACAAAAATGTCAATTTCATATGGTTCAACCTAATATCTGATGTTGTGAAAATTATACTTGGAATTATCTTCTAGCTTTTGTGATTGAAAGCAAAAGGATTAGAGGGTTGGAAGAGATCTCAAAAGGCTATGCAGGTCTCTAGATCATACCAGCTGGGTTTTGGCCTTATTCTTGGGAGTCCAGAGTTGTGTTCCAATGAACTGGTAATTAACACATGATTATAGGTATGCCCGACTTCATATAAAGAGGTATCCTTGAAAGTTATATGAGAAAATCACAACTTTCTAAATCAAATATTTGGAAAACGGTTGTTGGAATATGCTATTTAGAGACTCTTAGAATGAATACCCCCTTGCAAAGCAGGTAACCACTCCCAGATTTATCTGGTCTGCAAACCCTGATTTCACAAATCAGGTTTGACAAAACTTTAATATCTTCCTTGAATATGGTTCATTTCACCCCGTGTGGTTAATTCACTTAAGGTCCCTTGTTTTAGAGATTATAAAATAGCCCAGTTGGGCCCGCTCTCAGCTCCTGCCTTTGCCCTCACCCACCTTTCCACTATACTGAACCCTTAGCTTCAATCTAGTTCCTATTAATTCATGCGAAGTTATTAACCGATAAACCCAACCTTGGTGTTCAGCACGTTCCTCTAAATGCTTGAACTAAATCACTTCTGCTTGGTTTATTTGTGCTCACTCTCGCCTTAGTCCGGTATGAAAGGAACACTTACCTCCTGTGCCATTGTCCTTTGTACAAACTGAAGACTGTTAATAAATTCAGGTCTCACCTCCAGGTCTGGGAGGGATATAGTAGCTATTCATGGGGATGGGAATCTGTCTAATTCCCCAGCTAGGCTTTCCATATCTAAGGTAAATAAATTCAGCCACCTTATCTTTTATTCATAGTGCCTGTTTCCCAGACTTTGATTGGTTTTGTAGTTCCTGTGGACACACTCCAAGATTTATAGATCTTCTTTCACTAGCAGGTCCTAAAGTGAAATTTAGTGCTCCAAATCGTGATGACCTACACTGGCTCATATTGGCAATAGATAACTCACCATCTCCCATTAGATATGCTAATGCATCTCTTTAGGAGCTGACCCCACTCTCCTCTCACCTACCAAAGGACTTTCTCAGGTGTAGTCCATGAGATAGAAGTCTACTGTCTCGTCCTCCTGCTGGTAATTCGCTTTCAGATTAGCAATAACACTGAGCTGATCCCCAGGGGTAAGGTGAGAACACTGAACCCATTCCGTTGCATGTACTCACATGCGGAAACTGGCAAAGGATGTCAACTTTTTCTGGCACACCTTCACCCATTTTACCACCATAATTTTGATATCCCATGTTCATTCATCCTTGTCTTTTTTTCAGATTACAGAGGCAATATATGTTCTTTGTGGGAAATCGGAAACATACCACCAAGTATAAAGAAAATAAAAATCAGCTGAATCTCACCACAATCATATTGTTTAAAACCACATTTCCAGGCTTTAAGTCAGTCAGTGGCTGGGCCCAAAGGCACTGTGGATAAGGTATGTGAGTGAATGCCCACAGGGCCGAGGTATCACTTTTAAAATATCTGTCTGCTGATGTTTTTGCACGCCTCTAGGAGCAGATCAACTCAAACTTCTGGTTGAGCCATTGTTCAAGGGTACAAAGAAGACTTTAGAAGTAGCACAGCCCTGATGCCTCCTCTCATGAAAGCTCTTGGGAAATTCTAAAATCCTACCAGATGATTTTGTCCCTCGGTGTGCCTCTAACTGTTGGATATTTACTATATGGCAATACTGCCACCTACCGAATGCCGAGCTTCAGAACAAGAAGGGAAAATAAATGCACAGGCTATAAAAGCTTCTCATTTATTTTAGACAGCAAACAGTGGGCCAGATTAACAATATCCCATAGGGAATTCAGATTCTGGAAGTCTCAAAGTGGAAAGGATTAAGAGTATCATCCAGACTCACTTCTCATGCCACACGCATAAACCTAAGCGCTGTCTATCATTTCTTTGTGTTCTAGAACGTCACCAGATGCAAAATGCTCAGCTTTCAGATAACTATAGATAGGATGAAAAAAACCAGTGATGCTATAGACCCATAATAAATCATTATAATTAAATATAAAGATCAGAAATAAACCCAAGAACATAGAATCATTGAGTGCAATATAAAGATGGTATTTCGATCTGTGAAAAAAGGTTGGATTACTAAATAACTTGGGATGACTGGTTGGCCATTTATTGGGGGAAATACTAGATCTATACCTCATAACTTCCATCAAAAGAAATTCTAGGTGAAGTTAAGATTTAGATGTTAAAGCACATAAGCATATAAAAGGACTAGCAGACAATATTGACAAAATTTATGTGATTTTACCATTAAAAAAAAAAGCCTTTCTAAGCAGGACAACAAAGGAAGAAACCAAAAAGAAAAAGATGGATATATTTGACCAATTAAAAACATGGAACCCTTATATGGTAAAAAATAACTAACCAAATTAAGAGAAAACAAAATTTGAAATATATGCAACAAAGAGCATGGATCTCTAATATATAACAAGAGCTTAAACTCCATTACCCTTGGGAAGTTTCTATGATCTACAACCTTCCCAACCAAGTGTTCCCATTTCATTGTTTCCTCATTGCACTTTTAAAATTATTGCTTCTTTTTCTGTTCATCTTCACTAAACTGGAAGTTCAAGAAAGCAGCAACCATGTCTATTTCGCTTACTGTTATATCCTCAATACTCAACACAGTGCTAGACACAAAGCAAATACTGAAAACATATTTATTGTGTGAGTGAATAATGAATGCATGAATAAATAACATTTTATGATCAAAAAGAATCAAACTTCCCAGTAGAAAATTGAGCCAAGGATACAAACTGGCAGTGTACCATAAATTAAAGTAATGAACTAATAATAAATATGAAAATACTTAACTAGTAATCAAAAATGCAAATTATTATAATATACTCCTTTTTATGTATCAGAAGGACAAAGGGTATAAAGAATTATAGTTCCCAGGGACAACAAGGAAGTATGGAAATCAACATTCTCTTACAGAGTCAACAAGGGTGTAAATTGATCCGATCTTTCTGGAAAATATTCTGGCAATATATTTTTTGTGTATGCCAAATACTTCCACTTTAGGGAAATTCTTCTCAAAAAAAGTCAAGAAATATGAACTAAGATACATTCATTCATTATTCAAAAAACATACGAAAAAAAGGATGTTTATAGGAGCATTATTTGGAGGAATGGAAAAAATATAAGTAAGCCTACAATATAGGGTTGGTTAAATATGGTAGATCCTTTCAATGGAATACTGTGCGCCAATTAAGAGTAAGCACTAGATGTATATTTATTGAAATAAACAGCTATATTGTTAAATGAAAAAGGAAGTTACAGAAGAATATGGTACGTTTTCATTTTAAAAGTATACATATATATATGTGCTTTACAGTGTCTGAAAGGATATTTGCTAAAATGTTACCAGCATCTATCTCTGGGAGGTGAGATTTGGAGCAACTATATTTTCTTTTTGCATATCTGTAATTTCTGGTTTTTCCACAATAAGCATGTAGTACCTGTATAATTTTTTCAGGGAATAAACAACAATGTTCACGATAT